CTGCAAAATTCACCAAATTTGCTTGCACTCAGTGAAATAAATTTAAATTCTGCAATTCCTTCTTCAGATGTCAGTGTTGATGGGTACTATCCTTTGATTCGTAAAGACTCCAATAGTCACATGCTAGGTTTAGGGGTATACATACACATTAATTCCCTTAATTGTCGTGAAACCAGGTTCGAGTCCTTTGACCATTCTTTTATGTGCTTTCGCCTAGCACCTCTTCACTCTATCACCTTTCTCTTTGTTCTTTATCGTTCTCCTTCTTCCCATGATTGCACTCTTTTAGATGTTATCTCTGATCAAATTGACCATGCCCTCTCTCTTTACCCCTCTACCAATATTGTTGTTGTTGGTGATTTTAATGCCCATCACACTGAATGGCTTGGCTCTAACACCACTGATCCTGCTGGCACTATAGCCTTTAACTTCTGCGTTTCTCAATCTCTTACTTAGATAGTTAACTTTGTGACTTGTTTTTCTGACAACTCTAATCATTTACCTTTACTCCTTGACTTATGTCTTGTCTCTGACCCTAGCTTATGTTCAGTTTCTCCCTTTTCTCCTTTAGGTGGTTCTGACCATGCAATGATCTCTAGAAATCTTTCTTCTCGTACTTCTTTTTTGGGCTCACCTTATCATTGCACCACCTACTACTACCCTAAAGCTGACTGGGATTCTTTTCGTGATTTTCTTCGTGATGGTCCTTGGACTGATGTTTTTTCTCTCTCAGCTGATAAATGCGCCTTTTACATAACCTCCTGGATTCAGGCTGGAATGGAAGCTTTTATTCCTTCTTGTCGGTTTCAAGTCAAGCCTCATTCTACTCCATGGTTTTCTCCTTCTTGTGCGGCTGCTATATCCAATCGTAATCATTTTTTTCATCTTTTTCAAAAAAACAACTCTCTTAAGAACAAACAGCTATTTATTATTGCAAGAAATCGATGTAAAAAGGTGCTTTCTGATGCTAAACTCCATTATTTTCAGTTCACTTAATCTCGCATCTTATCACAGAAATTAGGCTCTAAATACTTTTGGAAAATTGTCAACAGCATTATTAACAAGGGTAGATCTAATATTCCATCTCTCATTCATGGGACTGATCTTATTACCTTTCCCAAGGAAAAGGCAGAACTATTTGCAAAGAACTTTGCTTCTAACTCCACTCTTAAATCTTATGGACATTCTCTTCCTTCCATTCCAGTCAAACAGGTTGACCCATTGTTAGACATTCCAATCACTCCAAGCTTCTGTTGCTAAAGTCATATCTCAATTAAACTCGTCTACAGCTTGTGGTCCAGACAACATTCCTGTCACAGTCTTGCAGAATTGTTCTCCAGAACTTTCTTCAATTCTCTCTAAACTATTTAACAAGTGTTTGACTGAGTCTTGTTTTCCTGCTTGTTGGAAAATGACATCTGTGGCTCCAATATTCCAAAACTCTGGAGAAAATTCTGACCCCTCCAATTATCATCCGATCAGTCTTCTTTCTGTTATTAGCAAGGTTTTTGAGTCTTTGATCAACAAATTCCTCACACCTCATCTTGAGTCAAATAAACTACTGTCAGACAATCAATACGATTTTCGATCCTCTCGCTCTACGGCCGACTTGCTAACTGCTGTAACTGAAAGATTTTATTGTGCATTAGATGGAGGCGGTGAGGCTAGGGCTATTGCTCTCGACATAGCTAAAGCTTTTAACAAAGTTTAACATTCTGGTCTTCTCCATAAGCTTGGTGTTTCTAGGAAAGTTTTTGAGATTATCAAATCATTTCTTTCTAACCGGTTTATTAAAGTCATCCTTGAAGGCCAACACTCTTCTTTATTTCCATTAACTTCTGGGGTTCCCCAAGGTTCCATCCTGGGCCCTGCTTTGTTTCTTATCTACATAAACGATCTTCCTGACAACCTTTCATCTAAAGTAGCTCTTTTTGCTGATGGCTCAACTTTATACTCCTGTCTTGACAAAAAGTCTTCTCTTTTCGATCGCCTAGAACAAGCGGCTGATCTTGAATCTGATCTCACTTCAGTAACAGATTGGGGTTCACAGTGGCTTGTGAATCTCAACTCTAACAAACCCCAGTTGTTTACTGCAAACAACTACCGTAATATGGTCAACATTCCTATATTAATGAATGGCAATCCTCTTACTGAGTCCTCCTCTTTACGTCTTCTTGGATTATCACTTACTACTGACTTTTCATGGAAACCATATATACAATCGATTGCTAAATTAGCTTCTGCTAAGGTTGCTTCTCTTTATCGTGCTCGCCATTTCCTTACTTTTGATTCCATTCTCTACCTCTACAAATCTCTTATTCGTCCCTGTATGGAATACTGTTGTCATATTTGGGCTGGTTCTTCTAACGATTCACTTTCTCTTCTTGACAAGGCCCAAAAACGCATTGTAAATGTTGTTGGACCTGGACTATCTGCTAAGCTTGAGTCTCTTTCCTATTGTCGTAAAGTTGCATCTCTTTCTCTTTTCTACAAATACTATCATGGTCACTGCTCAAAGGAGTTATCATCTTTAGTTCCATCAACTTAAATTCATTATCGTTTTACTCGTCATTCAGCTAAGTCTCATTCATTTACTGTATCTGTCTCTGCATGCTCTAAAAACTTTTATTCATCTAGTTTTTTTCTCCGCACTTCAATCCTTTGGAACTCTCTCCCATCTTTATGTTTTCCTGACTCATACAACCTTCAACTTTTCAAGTCTTCTGTCAACCGTTTCCTTGCTCTTTAACTCTGTTCTTTTTTTTCCTAGTAACTCCCAAATTAATAGTGGTTGCTTGCAGCCTTGTTTGGAGTGAATGCAAATAAAAAAAAATGTACTTTTTATGTTTTAATTTTGTATATTAATGATGAAAAATAGAGGTTATTTTGTTATGTTGTTTGCAAACCACAAGTTTGTTAAATCTTTTTATTTATTAGTTATTTTTAGTATTGTAATTATTGCAACACCGCAATTAATAAAATCCCCTTGAATAATTGGATATAAGTATTTTTGGAAAAGTATTAACGATTGCAACCTTACAATTCCCTAGGACATTATTTTTGCATGAAGAAGTTCATAAATGCAGGTATATAATAGCTGAAGCAATAACTTAAGTTTTTATAATAACAGTATATATTTAAGAAACAATAAACTGCTTAGCATTATAAAAATTATACATTTAATTATAAAATTTTTATATCTACTTATATTAATAAATAATATCCTAGTAATGTAATTTTATTTGCGTTATATTTAGTTTACTTTACTTTATATATATAAGTAATAAAAGACAAGTATAAATTAAAAAAAAAAAACAAGCCAAAACAAAGCTCTTTTGTCTATAAGTATTTTACAAAATCATACATTTCGCAATTCTTTCATAAAATGCAAAGATTCAAGCACATCTGGTCTGATTACCCACAAGAGAACTATCCTTAGTATAATATTAAAAAAAAAAGAAAAAAGGAAAAAAAAAAAAAAAAAGAAATTAGATGAAGCATCTGTTGCAGAGGTTCAGAAAAAACAAATAAAAGTTGACAGATTCTTTAAATGTGAAACCTTGGCTGAATCGTTAGCAAAATGTACCACAAAGGATGTCTTTAAGAACAATTATGAAACCCAATGAAGTATATGAGTTAATTAAGAATTGTGGTTTTCAAATGCCAAAAAAATCAAACCACAGTTGAAACTAATAATATTGTTTTACAAGATAAAAAAACAAGAGCTGTGTGATAAAACTTCTGTTTTGAAAAATTGTGGTTAAAAGTTCAGCATTACAGTTGATGAATGGACTGACATCTCCATTAAAAAGTATATAAATGTAACTCTTGACAATAAAGTTGCTTATAAATTGGGTCTTGTTAAAATGAAGATACTGATGAATATGATAATGCAAACGATTCCGAAGAACTTCTTTTTCATCTTACTTCAGAAGAAGATAATGATTCAGATTCTGATCATAATAACAATGATTATCTTAAAAGATTGAATCGTAGCAACATTTTTAATGATATCATAAAGAAAACTACTCATGGAAGTAAAAACAGAACATTTTGAGATGACATCAAGTCTGTATTGAAAAATTAACATAAACTGATTAAATTTTTTAAATTTAAACTTGACATAACTTACATTACATCGAAAAAACTCTAAAATAAAATAAAATAAAATAAAATAGAAATGAAAAATGTGTAAATTTTCGTATTCTATTTTATTTTTTATTTTTATAAAGTTTTTTAAGGATTTGGCTAAATTTTATAAATAACGCCAATACAGGTTTATACCGGTATAAAACTACCGGTATAAAACTTTGAATACCGAAAAGCAGTATAATAATTTTCCGGTATTTTGGAAGGTCTAGGCATTTCTCAACAAATTGATAATAAGCTACAATAAAAAAAATGCAAGATGTTCTAAGACAAGCTAAGGCAAACCTATTGCAGACATCTGAAATGCAAAACAAAGAAATCTGTAAAAATAACGTACTCCAAAAGATAAGATCTTAAAACTCTTGTAGCAGAGTAAAACTAAAACTCTTGTAGCAGAGGTAAAAATAAAATTGGTTCAGTTGCATAAATAAAAGTCCTCAGATATGCATTGTGACCCCTTAAAACAACGCTAAGGGGTCACAAAGCATATATTTTTTTACCACAGCAACTATTGAAGAACTTTTGTCCAGTATGAAGTTTCTTCATCAATTTAAGCAAATAGCATTTTGCCTACTCCTTAAAAATTGGCCCCCTACTTTAAAGCGTATCAAGCCTATAGATAAATCTGAACCTGCCACATGTATTTATCCTCGCAAATTTTCATTTATTGTTCTATCCTATACCAGATATATTTTTACATAAGTTTTAGATATATTTTTACATAAACTTATTGTTCTATCAGATATATATTTTTACATAAACTTATTGTTCTATCCTATACCAGATATATATTTTTACATAAAAGTTAGAAGTCTAAGTTATATATAAAAAATTTATATAAACTGGTTTACCATATCATCGGCAACAATCATGATAATATGAGGTGATTTGCAATTAACCAAAGTTACAGCATAGAAAAATACCAGATATATCATATTCTGAAAATTTCTGAATTAAAAATAAACTTTTCATTAAAATTAAATATATTTAATCTTTAGTAGGTCACAAAACAATTTATATCTTATAAATTTGTTTTAAAAGTAATTTGTTTTGGCTGCACATACTACAAGGTAGCACATGCAGTACTATCAATTATAATATTAGTATGCAGTACTATCATTGAAATATTGTGTTTTTTTAAAACTCTGAGTACTTAATATCAAGTTTAACAAAATTTTGCATGTAGACTAAATGCAAAAACTTGATAGCAAGTACACTGAGGTTAAAAAAAATACATTTACCCCATTATCGGCAATAGGTTCTTAATATAGTTATGCAATGTAGTAATGTAAACCAAAATCTTTAAATTAGATTATATACTGGTAAAAACTTGTTTTAGGTTACATAATTACACAATATACTTTATTAAAAAATGTAAGGGTAAGGACACAGGGAAGTATATTATTTATTTTAAGGAGTGAAATTAGAATTGCTAGATGTATAATGAATAAAACGAAATTTTTATTTATTTAGTGGTATTACTAATACCACTAAATAAATAAAAATTTCTTTTGATTTTACTTTTAGCCTAATACTATTAGGCTAACGCAAGCGTCAGAGTGACAAAGGTCATGAGGTTACACGTCCGCTTTACAACCTTTATAAATATTCTCTAAGGATATTTGTCTGATCAAAAATATTTTAATTATAGAAAAAAATAATTTAAATAAAAAAATTTAATCATAGTTTATAGACTTATGCCTGCACTGCATTTAATTTGCGAGCTAGTATAGTTAGAGTCGTACTGTTAACATAAGCGACTCACGTAAACAAATGCGACACGTTTGTTTATCTAAAAGTAGCCGGGTGAGAAGTGAACCTTTTTTTATATAAAAATGGAATTTTTGGTGTGGTGGAGGGGGAAAGGTGTTGAAATATACAAAATAAATATATAACCACTGCGCCACGGCTATATATGAAGGACCTTTTTTTAGTCTTTTAGGTACCTACATTTCAGGGCGGAACAAACTGTCCCGGAGTTCCCCTCCTCTCGGCGGTCCTGCTCAAGATGAACTAAAAAAATTATAGTTTTGTTGAAAAAGTATAAAGCAAAAACTGGCTGAGCAAAGTCAGCATCAGGGCTTGGAGAAGACACTCCTACAAAATCATAGCTTTTTTTCTCATTTATACTGCACTGTTTTTTTTTTTTTTATCATCATTAACATGTCTCTTCTATTAAGACACATTTTTTTGTTTTTTGGTGTCTGTAAAAATATTATAACTCCTCTATTTATTCAATAGAGAAATGTTGGAATATTTTATACTAAAAAAATTACTTTTAGTCTCAACAGAAGAAACATACAAAGCAGTAGAAATGCGAACAAATGCTATTGAAAGATTAGATAAAACGCAAAAACGAAACGATGAGAACTATGTAATTCCAAAAAAAATCCGTTAAATTTGAAAGAAAAGTTAAAAAATGATAAATAAAATTGAAGACTTGAGGGAGAGCAATGTAATCTGGAACAAGAACTACTAAAGCCACATTTCAGATACAACAATAGAAACACAAAATGATGTTACAACAGATACTGCCATGATGTCTCAACAGAACGCTTTACTTAACGCATTTTTTAAAGAAACCATAACCAAAAGCTTCAAGATTCAATACCAGCTCTGGCCAGATAAGTGGTATTGGTAAGGAAAGAGGTTTGGACCTCCTAATAAGATGCTCTTATGCTGTGCTATGTGATAAAACTGTAAGGACTTCTCGGAGCATCTTAATGAAGCACCACAAAAAAAAAAAAAAAACTTTCCTTAATTTTTTAAGACCGCTTTTTGTTTTCGTTGTTGTTGTTATTGTTGTTGTTGCTGTTGCTGTTGTTGTTGTTGTTGTTGTTGTTGTTGTTGTTGTTGTTGTTGTTGTTGTTGTTGTTGTTAATTTAATTAGATATTATTGTGATATATAAAATTATAGGTTAGAGTTTAATAACCTGAAAATAATTTGAGTGGCGTTTTAATTAAAATTAGCCAAGGTTTTGAATATAAACTTAGTTTTTTCATTTTATATTTTAATTGTTTGAATTTTTTATAAATTTATCGTTATATTATTTGCACTGGTATTTGAGATTTTCATATAATGTTTTTGTATATTTTAGAAGTTTTTTGTATATCTTTTTGTATATCAAACTTTTTATTTTGGAGATTTTGTTGATCACCAATTCAAAAGTTTTAGAATAAATTATCGAGAAGATATTTTTAGTTTAAGATTTAAAAAAGGTGTTTTTAATATTTATTTATTAAAAAAATTAGTTTTAGTTATTATATAGAACAGACGACTAAAAAGATATTTCAAGTGTTTCGTAAAACTCTACCGGTTGCTTAAATAATGTTTACCAAATTGATTTCTTTAAAGTTACTGCTTACAATATTAGCATTAGTTAAATGTTCAAATATTGAATCAATAGATATTATATATTGGGAAATAAAACCGTTCATTTTTAGAAATTCTGACGGTAACATTTCGGGCATTTTTCCAAAGATGTTTAGTGAGGGGCAATACTATTGTAGCAAAAAAAAATTGGTTATTAACTATAAAAAAATCATATCTTCTAGAAAAAAATTTTATGAACTTCTTCTTTCTAATATAACGCACAACAACAGCGAATTTTCAGTTGTTAATGACAAGAACTTGGTATGGCTTCCCGAAAACATGTTTGGCAACTCGCAAGAATACAAAAAGGTTTGGCAATTGCGGACTTTGCCTTTAATATGGTCAAATGGTATTGCAATAATTATGCCTCGATACATGATTTCGTTACCTATAAAAATGCTTCGAGGAATTTACAGCTGTCGGCAAATCATAACTCTGACTTTAATGTTATCTCTTCTCTTTGGAATAATAATTTGGTTTGCAGAATACAAATCCAATAAGCAATTTTCAAAATTCTTTATAGCAGGAACAGGAACAGGTGTTTGGTGGAGTTTGGTATCCATGACTACGGTTGGTTACGGAGATGTTGTACTTCGGTCAATTGTGGGTAAAGTAATTGCTTCTATATGGTTGTTTATTGGTGTTATAATTGCATGTCTTACAACAGCAACAATAACGAAGACGATCAAAGGCTTAGAAGGTTTGGATATCTATTCTCAAAAAGTTTCAGTGCTTGAAAATTCTCAAGAGTTGAAGATTGCTAATGAAAATTATGCTGCACAAATATTTCCTGTTAAATCTTACGATGAAGCACTCGATATGGTTAGAGATGGAAAAGTATTTGCTGCTCTGATGAATGCAGATGTTGCTGCCTGGTTTCAAAAAGAAATTACTAATGATAGTAATAGCGTTCCGTTACGCATCGTCAATATTATCCCTGCAAAAATAGAAACGAACATTCTTATACCAATGAATTTATCAGTTAACGCTTCGTACTTTATTGAATGCATGTTAAAACAAAAAGACGAAGTTTTAAATCGATCAAACGAACATTTTAAAAGGCTTTGTCAAACTGAAACATTGTATATTGATTCAATTACTGACATGTTTAAGAAAAGCGCTTTATATCAACTTCTTTTAGGAATTGTGATTGCGATATTGTTTTTGGGATTAGGGATGGAAATTTTGATGAGAAAATCAAAAATTGATAAAAATGAAATTCAATCTTTCAATTTTTTAGTTGATTTTTCTTTTGCAAAAGTCGACTTGCCAAAAAGCGTCAACAAGACATATGAGCGGATTGGTGGAAAGTTTATATAATTTTATATAAACATTAAATTTAAATGAAAATCATATTAATAAATTAAGCTTAACAAAGGATAATTTTCTTTTGGGTTCAACACTTTGTTTTTTCAAAAATGACCCGTTTTGCATTTGTTTTAAAACAAAAATCAAGGTGTTTCATTAAAGGTACATGTTTTAGAGCATGTTGCTATTTGTATTTTATTATTATTTTACGTTTTAAACATTATTTATTTATCAGAAATAAATAAATATTTTATTCTGTGAATATTATGTTTTATTTTGTATATACATGACAATATTCAACCCCATAAACCCACTTGACGACACCACTACATCACTCATGAACACCACTTGACAACACCACAATGTTTGTCTATACTACTATAATACGCATTGTTTTTTTTTAGTTTTGTTATTTGAACTTTAGATAAATAATGCTTATTATTTTATAAATAGATTTTCAAAAATTAGTGGGTTTAACTAATGACTAGACAATAGACTAAAGAAAAGTATAATTTCTTTTAGAGCAAAAAAAAACTTTTAAAAATGGTGCTGTAAAAAAAACGTTTTATAGTCTAGCGAACTCAAACTCAATTTCCCGAAAATTTATTAGTTAAGCTAATTAGTTTTTTACTTTTTCAATAGTTTTAACAGGTGCTTACTGTATGTAAATATTTTACTCACTGGTTGTGATTGTGTCACAAATATATTACTGATTGTGTGTGTGTGCAAGATGTATGTAAGTTTATCAACTTTTATGATAGAGATGATGAGTTAAGAACTAAATTATTAAGAAACGAGTTACTAAAGCTCCACCTTTTAGCATTGTTTAGCTTAAAATGATTATAATGGAATTATTTTAAAATAAAAAAAATGTAAAACTAGAAGAAATAAATCAAACCTGATTAACGACGTGTAAAGTGAATAAAAATGTTTTCGAGATTTTAAAAGATTTGAATTGTTTTATTGATAATATGCAACCCTCATCAACATAACGAGACTCTCAATTTATAAAATGCCACCCTCAAAAATTGTTTGACTCACCCATTAGGATTTTACTAACAGGGTCAATGACACGGGTTTGTGGAAAACAAAAGGGCACAATCGTCAATTTCTAAAAATACTCCTCTAAATCTAGAAATTTCCCAAATAAGAACCTCTTCTCAAATTTATGTTTAAAAAATAATAAAAAAAGAAACAATAGTAGCTCAAACTTTATTATAATTTTTATTATAAATCTTTATTATAATTTTTATTATAAATCTTATTATAATTTTTATAATAAATCTTATTATAATTTTTATTATAAACCTTTATCATAGTTTTTATTATAAATCTTTATTATAATTTTTATTATAAATCTTTATTATAACTTTTATTATAAATCTTTATTATAATTTTTATTATAAATCTTTATTATAATTTTTATTATAAATCTTTATTATAATTTTTATTATAAATCTTTATTATAATTTTTATTATAAATCTTTTTTATAATTTTTATTATAAATCTTTTTTATAATTTTTATTATAAATCTTTATAAAAAGAAAAACTAAAAAAAAAATTAGAAATCAGCGTCTCGGCGCCTTTTATCATATTTTAATCATTTATTGTAATTATTAATACTATTATTAACAATATTAGTATTGAAACAAATTTCATTTTGACAAAATCATTTTAAAAGCAACTAAGTAAATTGAAAAAAATATTTAACCGCTGCAAATTAGTCTTTTTAGTGTTCTGAACAACACAATCAAATTTATTATTTTTACGTATAACCAAATTATATTACGTATAACCAAATTATATTAATCATATAGTTAATTAAATCGTAAGTACAATAAAGTGTCACATGTAATACTTTTCTCCTTGTTATTTTGATGCTAATGAAATGCTTACAACTTTTGTACTTACAATAAATAACAGGGGGGCAGGTGCAACATTTTTTGATGTTTGAAATAACTTCCAGTCAAGGAGCAAACTCAAAACATTTATATGTTTATACTTATGTCAATTAAGGGTGCTTTGCAAAAATTGTGATGATTGGAATCTCGGAATAAAAAGCCTAAAAATTTATAAATAAAATTTCATACAATAATCTCTAAGAGTTCAAAAATTATGACCTTAACTTTGTAACCCCCACAAATTGAGGAGGGTTCATTCTTTATATAGTCATTATTTTTTAACGCCGAGAAATTAATATACTAAATTTTAAATTTATTTACAAATACAAACTAGGGTTTCTCATTTCCCGTAAATTTAGCATCCCGGGATTCCCGGTGTGTAACTTATTTATCCCGGGATTTCCCGGGATTTCCCGGCATAATTTTTAATATAATAACAAGCGGTTTCTGACACAAATTTATCTTAGCACGCTAATCTATATTACTATTTAAAATGAAATATTGTTTTAAAAAACATAAACAATCAATTGATTTGTCACTTAATCGTGAACGAATTTTTCCCATAAATAGACCCGCGGCAGAAAAAGCCCTTTCTGATTCAATTGATGTCGGCTTGATGGTCATTAATGTTGAGTATATTCTTTCTAAACTTTCGCTACGCTTTCCAGTTGCCTCAAAAAGTTTGATTTCTTTTGTGAGGTTTTTTAAATTGCTAATGTTTTCTAGAGCTGCTTTTTCTACTTGTTTGACATTACAAATAGTCGCATCCAATTTTTGTTCAAGCGTCAAAATACTTTTGCCTAATAAATATGGAGCAACAGGTTGAGGTATTGACGGGTCAGAAACCATGCTTTCATTATCACGACTCACTTCAACTATTTCATTATTTGATGAACTAAGGCTAGCATCCTCTATGTACAACCTGGTATAAATTTTTTTTGCTGTTGCTTTTAATGCATGTTTGGGCGGTAAGAGTAGTTTGGAGTTGATATTTGATTCCTGATTATAACTAATTGGGTTGTTTAAAAATTTTAGTAATCCAATTAAATTGGCATTTCTGCGTTCTTCAATTCTCTGCTGCACAGATTGAAGCAGTTTATTAGCTATAAAATTTTTTTTCTCCGTCAAATCGTCTAAGATGAATATCATTACACCTTCTGCGTCAAGTAGAGTAGCATTACTTCTACCAAGTCTTTCTATTCCAACTTTTATTGATTGCAGAGAAAATGTTATGTCGTTCATAATCGCATATTCATCTTCGGAGATATTCAGAACTTCTTTTAAATCGATCATTGCTTTTAGTATACATGTTTTTACTTTAAGGAATCTTTCTAGCATTGCAACAAGACTATTCCACCTCGTTTTGACATCTAATATCAGCTTAAGCTCTTTATTAAACATAGATTTTACGTACATTTGTAAAACTTCATTTTTAAGAGGTGATTTACGGAACATTCGAACCACTTTTCGAACCTTCTGAATTGTTAAGGCTATATTTACGCTATTTTGTAAATCATCAATAAACGTAACGCCTGTTGAGCTGTGTGACTCATCATTACAGTCAAATACATCATCAAACTCGTCGTAATCACTCAAATTTTCATCGGAATCTTGAAACTGCGATTCAAATTCAATATATTTTGGTGAAGAGTCTAACTTTTTGTAAAGAACATCACATACTGCCAAATGAAGTCCGTGGGCATAACACAGCTGATGTTCAATACCACTTAGCCGTCCAAATTTTTTCATTACGGATGCTCCGTCAGTGACACTAGCTATGATGTGCTTTTTAATTGATAAACTGAAATCTGACAGTTTATTTTCAACTAGATCAACAATTTTTTCTGCAGGAAGTGATCCAGCTATCGGAGTCATTCCCAGGTTCCAAAACTTTGTTGATAAGTGTAAATTTACATTTAAATAACGTCTATTTTTTAAAGACGTATATTCGTCTAACGATAAAGAAAATCGCGACCCGCTAGAAATTTCTTTTGTTATCTCTAAAACCACAGTTTGTCTAGCTAATTCATATTGTTTTTTTATCATACCCATAACATGGGATGGATTTTTTGGTAATAACATGCCTTTTTCAGACAATGATTTTCTAATGAATTCACTTTTTGTTATGGCATTTATTGAGAAGCCATCCACCGTTGCTAGCTTTGACACAATTTCCTCGATAGTCTGCTGTTTAACAAACAATGTTATTTTCTTTTGAACAATTTTATTTTCCGAACCAGTATCTTCAAGTAGACGCTTCATATTTAGATCCAAATCTTTATGTGTGTTTTTTAAATGACGTAGGAGCCCACTGGTCGAAAATCCTTTGCACATTATCTTTACATTGCACTTTTTGCAAATTGCAGATTCGCCAGATTTTTCTTTACAAAAATACTGCCATGCTTTGGATCCATTTACAATTGACATAGTATAACTAAATTGAATCGCAGAACAACTAAAAGTAAAGTTACAAATATTTCTTACATATGTATGTTATCTTACGTATGACTTTTATGTGTTTGTTTGCCGTTTTTTAAATACAAAAATTATTAAATATTTCAATAATTTGATACAGAAAAAGTTTAACTTTTCAATAATTTAGAAGTTTAAAAATTAAACTTACTGTTTTCGTCGCAAGAAATCTTTTTTATTTTTTACTCATATTTTATAATAATGAGAAAAAAGAAAACATTGCATTGCAATGCATTTCTTTTTAGTTTAAGATAGTTTCAATAGCATTTCTTGTTGTGCTAGGTTTTAATATAAGGTATGAACACATAAAACACAACTAAATGCAATAATATTTTTCTTATTTTTGGTCGAATTAGTTCAAAGTTGTCATATGTAAAATTATTTTAAAAAAAATTATATTCCGGGATATAAGAGTGATATCCCGGGAAATCCCGCTGCCACTTTTATCCCCGGGATCCCGGGAAAACGGGATCCCGGGATCCCGTTTGAGAAACCCTAATACAAACTTAGCTGAGAATAGTAAAGAAAAAGAAGATTAATCAGTTTGTTGCTATCATGATTGAGATAAATGTCGTCAAAATTTTGGGGCTTTTTTGTTCCAATTATTTCAACTTTTTGCAAATGTTTGGAGTTTGCTCTATGTGTGGAAATTTTAATTCTCAAACATCAAAAATATCGCATCCATTCTTGTACAAAAATTCTTAGCTGGCAAAAAGAAGATACATTTTTTGTCTTTTTGACAAGCCCCTAATATACTAGAAATAACAATTACTCATACATAAAATCCAAAAATATAAGTAGGGGAGATGGGAGCGCATTGATCGCCGTTGCAGTATTTTGAAAACTGCAAACAACCCGATCTAGATATAAAAACTTATTAATTACTAAACTAAACTAGAACAATATGTCTTTAAGTAAAAATAAATGTTTTAATAAAAGACATTAATGAACATGGTATATTTCAACATTACAACAACCCTTGCAAAAGATCAATGTACCCCATGCAATATATATATATATATATATATATATATATATATATATATATATATATATATATATATATATATATATATATATATATATATATATATATATATATGTATATATATATATATATATATATATATATATATATATATATATATATATATATATATATATATATATATATATATATATATATATATATATATCATTACAACCTAATACACACCAGTGATGAAAATAAGCCCGTTATATACTAGTAGTATATAACGGGCTTATTTTCACATATATATCGGGTGGACACGGAAAAATCCGGTCAACTTTAAATTGAGATTTCTCTAAAACCATAAATGCTTTTTATTTCAATTTTTTTATTATTAAATGTATTTACATAAATTAGAGTTTCAACTTAATTTCAAGGGGCTTGATGGGTTGCTTGGCAAGAATTCGAACTTTATAGCGGGTTGATGCTATCATTTTACAGATTTTTTTTCCCCACCATATTGGTGGCATTAATCCACTTTTTTTGGAAGTCCTTTTTATTATTTGTTAGTCCACCTGTCTTACGAAGAACTCCTTTAACTATTGCCTAAAAATCTTCAATCTTACGCTCTTCAGGACGATTTGGAGGATTCGCATCATTAGGAACAATTTTCACATTATTATCTTTGCACCACTGTAAAACTTTTTTAGAATAGTGAGAGGCAGCAAGATCGGGCCAAAAGAGACATCGGTATTTGTGTTTTTTTATAAAAGGCAAAGTCTTTTTTGGAGGCATTCTTTGATGTAGAGATTAGCAGTCAAGGTCTTTTTAGTGACAAAACAAGAGGACTGCATACCACAGCTAGAAATTGCTTGCTACACAAGCAACTTGGATGCAAATTTTTCTCGTCGAATATATTTAAATTGATCATCGACAGGTTTATCTTTGTTTTCATAGTAAAACTGTTGACCAGGAAGTTGTGAAAAATCCGCCTTGCAATACGTTTCGTCGTCTTAAATTATGCACATATTTTTATCCGCCATGATTTTGACCAACTTCTTAAGGATAAATAAGGTTTAACTCATAACGAAGTAAGGTTTAATAAAAAAAAAAATTAAATAAAAAGCATTTGTGATTTTGGAGAAATCTCAATTTAAAGATGACCGGATTTTTTCGTGTCCGATATATTAGTAGTATAATACTACTAACATATATATATATGTTAGTATATGTTTTACAAAACTTGAAGCTTATAAAGTCTATAAGAATACAGTATTTTAACTTTACAAAAAAAATACAAGATTCATACAAGACTTTTATTAGAACTAAAGTTTACAAGATTATTTTTTTATATTATCATCCTTTGTCAAAGTCAAATCGTGATGCTGCTTTTACATTACATTGTTTTTTGTTCCTAAGCAAGTAGTTTTAAACTTTTCCCCTTTTTTATCTTTTGCGATGAGTTTCTTTTGTTGGTTGATTTGTTTTAAGGTTTTCTTTTCTTCTGACAAACGAATTTCATTTCTGATTGGAGTATCAGTCAAAATCCTTGTTTTTAATTGCCTACTTTTAATACTTCTTTTTCTGGGAAAGAGTCCCAGTCAGCTTTAAGGTAGTTGTATGTGGTACGATGATAGGGGGATTCTGATGAAGTAGAAGAGTTTGATAATAGTTTTAGAGAGATCAAACCGTGATCAGAAGTACCTAAGGGTGAATGTGGAGAAATTGAGCACTGACTAGGATCCAAAACAAGACATAAGTCGAGTAGAGAAGGTAAATGATTAGGGTTGTCTGGAAAACAAGTTGGAAAGTTGACTATTTGAGTTAGAGATTGAGAAAGGCAAAAGTTGAGGGCCTTAACGCCAGCAGAGTCACTGACACTAGAGCCAAGCCAATTGGTGTGATGGGCATTAAAGTCACCAACAACGACGATATTGGCCGATGGATAAAGAGAGAGGGCTTGGTCAATTTGATCAGAAATAGCATCAAGAATAGTGCAATCTTGGGATGAAGGAGAGCGATATAGAACAAAGAGAAAGGCGATAGAGTGAAGTTGGGTGACTTGTCCTATGCATGGGCCTGGAGATGAATGTACCAGCACAAGGATGTTTACAAACAATTCGTAGGAATAAGTTAAACTCAATTTTTCCCAATCCTTACGTTGGATATCGAATTTTGTAACTCTTCTGCTGTCTAGCTTTGAAATTTAGTTAAGTTTGAAGGTTTAAACTTTATTTTGAGATACTGTGAGATACAGCGCTTGGCACTCCGATTTTTGGACGATCCCGAAATCAGTTTAGACTATCTGTGTTGCAATCCTTTGTTAAAACGAGTTCTAAAATCGGGTAAGGTACGAGTGTGGAATTAACGGAAGTTAAGTTTTCAATTACATTATAAACTTTATCAATTTCCTTAGAAAATGGCTGATTCTTCAAATATTGTTGATTTGCAGGGAAAAAGTCCTAATTTAGTTCTTAATAAAAACTTTGCTAGTAACGTTGTAACGCGATATCATAATTTTAATGAAGCTCAAACAGAAAGGGAAACAAAAGCTCATCGTGAATTTGAAAATTTAGTTCGTAAACAACACACAAACAAAAAGTTAAGTCGTTCTGAGATAGGTACCCTTTATAGCGATCTTATTTCTGAAGATAATAATGCAAAAGATGAACTGTGTAGTTTAAAAAAAAAAAAAAGAATAATATCACCGTTTCAGCAAGTGCAAAAACTTGTCTCTGATGCAGCAAAGTTTAATGATGAACACGAGGAGGGTGACCAATTAAAAAAAAATCAACTTGTCAATTCAACTAATACTAACAATGCTAAAGCGGTAGTTCGAAAAAGTCGAATAAATGTGGATAAAACAATGCTCAGAAATTATTTAAAGGTATTAGAAAAATAAGGTCTTTCATATAATTTGTTTAATACTTTGTACTGTTACCATCAATTAATATGTGTTAATGAACTCATTTTATTAAAATGCTGTCTATATAGTAATAATTTTATAGCATACAACTGTTCATAATCGAATACAAGAGGAAGAAGAAATGTGGGAGCAGTATTCTACGCAAAAAAAGAGAAAGGTATTAGGTTTTGAGTATTTGAGAAAGGTATTCATTTTATTTTATTTAGAAAGAAAGCATCTTTGGGTGGGTCATTAGTTCGCTTGATAATTTATATGAAATTTCTAATATACTTTGAACCTAAAGAAAATATTGTATAAACCAATATTATTTTTTCTGACTTTAGTTTATTAGGAAATTGTTAAAATAAAAACTAATTAAACTATCTAAAAAAAAAAACAACTAACAACTATCTATCTGAGTATTAGTTGTTGCTTGTTATGATTGAATTTATGTTATAACTTATCCAACAGCAGATAAGTATTACTCAGACTCAATATTTTTTTAATAATGGCCTCCAATGCATTAAATAAAAGTTTCAATTATTTGTTCTTTCCAGTTGCTTTTTCAGTTTGTTAAATTGCTTTCTAAAGTTTGTCTTTAAAGTAAAAGTGATTCATTGGGATTTATTTGGAAAAGTCCAGACCGAAAGTTTTAAGTTTGTTTTTTGAAAAACAGACTTTAAAGGCTTATTTTCAATATATTTTCAGATCAGCAAACTTGAATCAAACCCAATTTCCAGTGTTGGTTTCTTTTTTTTAAGTAGTGTGCTTTTCTACAGGGATGCGGAGTTTGAAAAAGCTCAGAGTTTGAAAGTCACACAAAGCTTACTTCTTTCTAGTTTTTGATTTCCAGGAGCTTTAAAAATATAAAAAAGCCTATGGGCAACTAATGGAAAAAAATTAAGACTTTTTGGTTAGAGGAACAATCTATTTTTGAGCCCAGAGTCCTTATGTATAATAGTGGCGAGGACTCCAGGACTCCAGCTTTGAAAACAATGTTACAAGTCATTAAATCTCGTGAGTTGAATTAAATCTCGTGAACTGGCAAATTTATTATTTCTAGTTATAGCTCGAACTGAATCAAATCAAAAACATTATTTTAAAGCTTTTGCGCAAAGAAGTTGCCAACAGTTTTTTGTCTCTTATTGCTTGCTCTCTCATATGTTAGTATAATTGATACTGTTGCCTTATTTAAACAATAATATATATATATATATATATATATATATATATATATATATATATATATATATATATATATATATATATATTATTTTTTATATCATGATGATATAATCATGATATAAACAATAATATTGTTATTACTTTTATTACTTCTACTCCACATTTTTCACCATTAATCATTTTTTTTTTTTTTTACAAGAATATCTCTCTTTAGAACAAGTGTCCTTTTATTATTGCAAGAAGCCAATTTAAAAAAAGTCCTGTCTGATTTTAAGCTATGTTATTATCAATTTACTAAATCATGTATCTTATCTCAGATGTTAGATTCTAGAAACTTTTGGTTAGCATTTAATAGTGTAATTAACTAAATTAAGTCTAGTATTTAATCTCATATATAATAATTCATTTAATCTCATATATAATAATTTATGGGTCTGATCTTTTTACTTCTCCCTAGAATAAAGCAGAGTTATTTGCAAAGAAATTACTCTAATTTGACTCTTGAATATAATGGCCATACTCTTCCTGACAGTTTAACAGATTAACCCATTGTTAAACATTGATACACTTAGGCTTCTAATACTAAATGCTAAAGTTGATATTCAGTTAAACACTTCTACAGTTTGTGCTCCAGACAAGAATTTTCTCATAGTCTTTAAAAAGTATTCTCCAGAATTTCTCATTGTCTTGAAAAAGTGTTCTCCAGAAATTCTCATAAATAAGTGTTCTCTTTAATTTTTTTTAATTCTCTTAAATAAATATTCTCTTTAATTTTTGCTAAACTTTTAAAAAGAGCTAAATAAATGGTTCCAATTTTTCAAAACTCTAGAAAACGCTTTGACCTCTCAAACTTTCCTATAATTAGTCATAACTCTGTTATTTTTTTCTTTATATAAAGGTTTTGAGTTTGTTAAATTATTTCTTTCTAACCGCAGTAATAAAGTTATTCTTGAATGCCTACCTTCTTCTTTATTTCAAGTAACTTTAAGATTACCACAAGGTTTTATCTTTGCTTCTGTATTATTTCTTATCTACAATAACAATCTTCATAAAAGTTTTACATTTAAAGTGGGTCTATTTGCTGATGACTCAACTTTATACTCTTGTTTTGACTAAAAATCTTTGCTTTTCAATTGCTTAGAACAAGCAGCCAATTTTAAATTTGATCTCTCTTTTGTAACAGCTTATAGCTTGCAGTGGCTTATGGATTTTAATTCTGGACTTAAAATCCACAATTTTTGTTAGGCAACTAAACTCAATTTATTTACTGGAAAAAAATATTGCAATATTTTTGGCATTCCTATATTGATAAATAACAACATTATTACTCTCAGACAAAGTCTAAAAGCACATTGTAAATGTAGTTAGACCTGCTTTATTTGCCAAGCTTTAGCCACTCTCCCATTTTTGTAAAGTTACATTTTTTTTCTTCTACAAACACAATCATGATCAATGCACAAACGTGCTATCATTACTATAACAGTAAACCAAAACTCATGCTTGCATGGCTATTTATTCAATAAGTTGCATCCTTTTACTGTATCAGTCCTTTCATGCTATAAAAACTTTTATTAATCCAGTTTTTTTTTCTTGAACATCAAAAAAACCTTATAACTCTTACCCATCTTCATGTTTTCTTTTTTATACAACTTACAACTTTTTAAGTCTTTATACGTTTCCTAGTATTTTAACTTATTCTCTATTTTAAACTCATAACTTAATTGTGGTTGAAATTGAAAGAATCCTTAATGAGCCATAAATTTATATATTTTAAGATAATATTATATCTATGATTTTGTAATGAAATATTTTGTTTTTGCTTTCAATTTTATTTTTTTAAAATTGCTTTCAAAATTATTCTACAAAATATGTGATTGGTATTTAAGGTACCACACCTTCCCCTCGGGAGACTGAATAAGCACAAATTTTATACGTTCAAACTGGCATAAGTGCAAAGCGGTGCAAAAACTGGCATAAGTGTGCCAAAAGAATTTGCAAACATTGGATAAGTGCAAACTGGCATAAGTGCGACACAGTTGCAAAAACTGGCATAAGTGCGAATGGCATAAATAGACTAAAAGAATTTTGGTAAATATTGGTATAAGTGAAAACTGATATAAATGTGAAACTGTTGCAAAAACTAGAAAAAAGTGTGTATTGGCACAAGTGCACCAAATAATTTTGCAAACATTGGCATAAATGTGAACTGGCATAAGTGCAAACTAGCATAAGTGCAAATTGGCATAAGTGCGCCAAATAAAATTGCAAATATTAAACATTAACATAAGTGCAAATTGGCTTCACACTTATGCCAATTCGCACTTACACCAGTTCTCACTTATGCCAATGTTAGCAAATTCTTTTGGCGCACTTATGCCAGTTTGTATTCATGTCAATTTGCTCTTATGCCAGTTTTTGCAACTGCTTTGTACTTATGCCAATGTTTGCAAGTTCTTTCTGCGTACTTATGCCAGTTTTTGCAACTGATTTGCACTTATGCCAATGTTTACAATTTTTTTTTGTGCACTTATGCTATTCAGACTTGTGCCAGTTTTTGTAACTGCTTTGCATTTATGCGAGTTTGCACTTACGCAAGTTCGCACTTACAACATTCGCACTTATGCCAGTTTGCACTTATGAAATTCGCACTTATTCAGTTGTTCCCTTTTCCCCATATATATAATAATATATTTTTTCTTTATTCATTTAATATGTATATAAATGCAATTGTTTCATATTTAATTAATACAAACGTTCTGAATAATTTTAGATTTCATCTCTAACTTCTGCAAGTGCTAAAAAAGCTAATAGTGCAAGTGGTTCAATGTATGCTGACAAAGAAGAATATCATGGGAAAAAGGCTAAGAGCAGTAACATAAAACAAGTTAACAACTTTGGTAAATATACCAAAAAACTACTCAAAGCCAAAGAGCAGGATCCTAACAGGTGGGATAATAGTGGTTTTAAAGAGCTGTATGCACATGAGTTAAAAAAATCAAGTAAATCTCTTACAAAAGATTTGGTTCAATTTTCTGATGAAAAATCTTCTGATAGTGAGTGGGAAGAGAGTGTAGTAAGAATAAATAAATCAAATGGAAATCCAAAAAGAAAAGTTTTTATAAGCGATAATGACAGGAATTTAGACAAAAGAGAAAGTGATGATGAACCTTTATATGTAAAAACCATTCAAGCTAGAGATAAAAAAGAAAAGGTTTCAAAAAATTATGGGTTGCAATCAAATCTAAAAACTAATAATAAAGATAAAATAAAGAATAACTTTGTGAAATCGAATCATAAAGATTTTGAATCACTAAAAGATCAAATGAACATCGAGGTTACCAGTACACCGCAGCGTATAAAAAGTCTAGCAATTGTAAAACCACCAAATATTCTGATTAAAGAATGTTCCTCAAATGTTGAGATAAATTGTGATATTAATAAAATGGATAAGAGTGTTAAAAATGATGAAAAAAAACATAACAGGGATAATTTACAAGTGAGCTCTGATACACTAAAAAATACTATTCATGGACACTCAAAAAAAGATAAAAATCGAATAGTTTTAAAAAATAAACATAAAAATGGTGAGAATATAAAAACAAAATTAGAAGAAAGCTCTTTTAGTGATTCTTCCTTAAGTGATTCGTCATTAAGTGATTATAGCAGTAGTACTGATTCAAGTTTTTCATCAAGCTCCTCTGATGAAAAGTATTCAAAATCAAAGAAACTGAAGAAGAAATCGTCAAAACATAAAACAACATTTTCAGACTATGATAGTGATTGTTTACCTAAAAAATAAAAGCTGGTAACCAAGTGGATGATGACAAAGTTTTACAAAATATCTTATTTTTTAATTATTTTGTTAGTTTTTATAAAATTAAAAGCTTTAATGAGTTTATTATATAATATTAAAAATATTATTACAAATACATTTTTATGTTTTGTTATTGTATGTGCAATACAAATGTTATGTGCATTTTTTTCAATGTGTTTCACAAAATTGTTTTTTTTTCAAATTAACTTTATATTAGCTTATTATTACTCTGTGAAAAGGCTATTTGGAATAACTGTGCATAGCATATGTATTTATTTGCTTAACAATTATTTATTGTTCTCTATATTTTTGTTTATCTCATTAAGAACTACTTTTTTTATATAAATAATTTCTCTAATTTATAAAGTTACAATATTATAAACATTTTCTATAAATTGTTATAATTATTACACTATTTATTTTTAATTAATGTGTTAGATAAAAATTTTAGCCAGTGTGGTGTGCTGTTATATGTAGAAAATCTTCCTAATTATTGGAATGTTTTTATAGTTTTATTTTAATTATAACTACTTTTTCTTTACAGCGGAGACAAACAAATTCTTTTAAGTTTTTTTAATTTTCATGATAGGCTAGCAAACTTCAAATAGAACGAAACATGTCTGATCAATATAACACAAATATGTGAAATACAAGTAGTTTGTGTAGCTCTTTGTGGGATTGTTTATGTTGTTCTTTGTAGGAGATAAAATTTTCACCAATTTTTCAAATACCAAGGGTTCAATCAATTTTCTTAGTGCTTTGATAAATTTGTATTCAAATTTAATTTTAATAATATTTTTATAGTTATTTTTTTTTCTAAGTTTTAAGTTTCTAATTTTTTAAGTTTTTTCTAGTATCAATCCTAAGTTCTTAGAATATCAATATATCTGTAAATCTCTCTGTATATATCCGGTACATCTATAAATCAAGTTTTTTGTATATATCGCATATAGCAATATCTGTAACTCCAGCTTTTTTTCTATTTCCAGTTCACCTATAATCTAGTTCTAGTTAATTGTAATTAAAATATTGTTGATATATATATATATATATATATATATACACACACACACACACATATATATATATATATATATATATATATATATATATATACACACACACACACACACACACACACACACACACACACACACACACACACACACACACACACACACACACACACACACATAAGTTCTCTTAATGCTAAATAGTTTATTTGAAATTTTTGTCAGGCTATATTATATGCATCAGCAGCATATAATATAATTGCAAAAATTGTGACCACCAAATAACAACAACAAAAATTGATTGATGGCAAGTTAAACCAGTCTGCATTAGCTTTGCATAAAGTAAATTGCTATGAGAACATATTGAATGGGATAATGCAAAAACCCTTGGAGGCTAAAAAATTTGATTGAAAAGTTCATGAAGCCTTGGAGATACAAAAACATCAATGTTCTCTGATGTAAGGTGGTATAAATTTAAACAGTGAACTGTATGTTAAAACAAATTGTTGCACCTCTTTTTTTCATATTTAAGTAAAAGAAACCATTATAAAAATGATGTCAAATTTCTAAAAAAATGATGGTGCTAGTGCCTATAAGTTATAGGCACTAATTTATTTGAAAATTTTGTTGGGTTATAGGCTATAACCCGACAAAAATTTCAAATAAATTATTTAGTATTATGAGAGTTCATATTATCTGATGTTTTAAAGTATATTATATATATATATATATATATATATATATATATATATATATATATATATATATATATATATATATATATATATATATATATATATATATATATATATATACCATTTTTGCAGTATATTTAAAAAATATGAGCGAAAAGCAACGTCTTTTATGCCCCGAAGATCAAACAACTGAGGAATTTGAGGTTCTTTTAATACTTTTTTATTTGTATACAAGCAGTGGGAGGAAATCAGCACACAAACAGTGTTTTAAATTTATGTTTTGGGTTTTATTTTGAGGTTTTTACTTGTCTTTCTTTTTGATTGTCTTTTCAATTATGAAAGTTTGACAATAACTTTAAAAGATTATTTATTTTGTTTAAAAAGATTGGTTGATAATTTAATCAATAATTAATAGTTTTTCAGATTTTTTTAAATTTAATTTTCGAAAAAATGTTCTAGTTTTTCAATTATTTTGTAGAACAATAATTATAAACATATCCTGTTATTATATTTATTTTTATCTAAAAAATGGTGTTTTGACTATCTTTGTAGAGGTTATTGTTTTGCTAGCTTAAACTAGGAATTAAATTGCGATGCAGCTATTATTGTGCAAGATTGCCTCCTGCTGCAGTTTATATATATTATACAATATTATACATGATAATATAAAGATATTTTCTTTATTCATATATATACACTTACATGTGTGTGTGTGTATATATATACATATATATATATATATATATATATATATATATATATATATATATATATATATATATATATATATATATATATATATATATATATATATATATATATATATATATATATATATATATATATATATATATATATATATATATATATATATATATATGTAAGTGTATTTATATGAATAAAGAAAATATCTTTATATTATCATGTATAATATTGTATAACTAAAAGAGTGCTCAATAGATAAACTAGAGCTATATAGTATATATGTTACTGTTACCCACAGTACCAGGAATTAGCTAAATACTAATGTTTATAATATAATCTAAATTGCAACTCATGTGTTACCACAATCTTCAGGCAAGTAGTAAAATTACACAATCATGTGAATTTCATGTGTTACCACAATCTTCAGGCAACTAGTAAAATTTTGTTTTTCTACAATATGTTTAGTGGATTTTATGGTTTTATTTATAATTTAGATTGTTACGGGATGCATTGCTTAGTAGTTAGGTTAATGTTAATTATTAATTCGTTTTTAGTTAGCTAATGTTTAAATGGTTGTTTAAAAATATTTGTTTATGTGATAATGTGCTTTATTTATATATAAAAAAATATATAAAATTAAAAATTGATATAAAATATAAATAACATTATGAAATATATTACAATAGGTGTGTGTAAGTAATTTATTAGTAATTTATTAGTTAGTTGTGATTTTTTATAATCTTTTTAATGCAGCTATAATTTTTCAGTGCAGCTGTAATTATTATCTTTCCAAGAATTGAAAATAATGACCCAAAATCCACAAACATATACAAATGCATCATCGCAGATAAAAAACCAACCCAGCAAAGTTTATATTGAATTAACGGAAGGTGAATGGAAAACCAGATAAAACAACCAAAAATCATCATTCAGTAATGTTAAATACAAAAAGTTCACTGCCCTATCAAACTATGTCTGGGATTTGAAAATTTTATCAAATTCCCTATATTAACATGGTCTATTCTGAAGTCTGTACCCCCTACTCAAATATTTGAAAAGGTGCCCACTGTCTATATGAGAAATTTGCTTCTATATCATATTCAAAACTTGAGGATCTGCTAATTAATAGGACAGAAGTTATATCAAAGTGCCATCATGAAAATTATATCAAAGTGCTATCATGAAAGTTATATCAAAGTGCCATCATGAAAATTATATCAAAGTGCCATCATGAAAATTGTATCAAAGTGTCATCATGAAAATTATATCAAAGTGCCATCATGAATATTATATCAAAGTGCCATCATAAAATTTATATCAAAGTGCTGCCACAAAAACAAATTTTTATTAAAAAATTACAAAGTTTGCTACAAACCTAAAAACTAACAATAACTACATTACTCTACTTCATATATCTCTAGACTAACTGATAAATTACTCACATATATACACACACACATCTATTGTAATATATTTCATAATATTATTTATACTTTTATATCAATTTTTAATTTTACATTTTCTTAATATATAAATAATGCACATTATCACATAAACAAATATTTTTAAACAACCATAAAAACATTTCACAACAATTAGCTAACTAAAAACGAATTAATAATTAACATTAATATAACTACTAAGCAATTTCTGTCCCGTAACAATCTAAATTATAAATATAAACCGTAAAGTCCACAAAACATATCATAGCAAAACTAAATTTTACTATTTGTCTGAAGATTGTGGTAAAACATGAAACTCAGAGTTGCAATTTAAATTATATTATAGACATTAGCATTTAGCTAATTCCTGGTACTTTGTGTAACAGTAACACATATACTATATAGCTCTAGTTTATCTATTGAGCACTCTTTTAATTATACAATATTATACATGACAGTATAAAGATATTTTCTTTATTCATATATATTCACTTATATATATATATATATATATATATATATATATATATATATATATATATATATATATATATATATATATATATTTATATATATATATATATATATATATAAATTAAAATTTTTTTAAAATGTCTCAAATGAATCAAAATTATATAAAAGTTTTAATAATTTTTTATTATTAAAACTAAAAAAATAGCCTGACTCGCAAGGGAGTGCTGCTACATTGACTGAGGTGTTTGGTTTGGGCAGGTAGTCTATCATTTAAGGAAAAAAAAAATTTGAGTTTTTAAATATTTTCTGGTCTGGTGTATTAGCACTCTCTATTACTTTCTCTATTACTCAAACTACAATTAATTCTCTATTACTCAAACCACAATTTGTGGGGAAAATATATATATTATTAAAACTTTTGAAAATATAAAACCATACAACTTTAAATCATGTAAACTTATTTATGGAATCAGAAATTGTAAATAAATACTTAGACTTATATCAGAGCCAAAGCTTTGATTTAAAAGCTATTATAAAAACATTGTTAGAATAATATAAAACTTTTAGTTTTTTTATCCATGAAAACTTTTTAAAAGTAAATACAATTTTAGAGGAATACTTTTTATTTCAATTTTTTAAAAAAATGGTATTATGAGAAGCAGTTTACTTAGAAATGTAATCTCTTTATGAAAAGCTAATAAATAAAACCTTCATAAATATATATATATTTCTTTTTTTTTTTCAAAATAAATTAAGAGACTTTAAAATAAAATACCAACAAAATAATAACTTTGAAATTCTAAAGAAATCATTAATAACAGTTGTAATAATGTTTAGTATTTAAAATTGTGTATACAAATATTGCAATGTAAAAACATAAGCATTTCTCCTGTTTCCAGAGACAACCTGTTTCGTCGTGAAGAATAAACTTGTCCTCCACAACTGAGCAATCGTTCACTTTCAACAGAAGATAGAGGGCATGATAAATACTTTTGAGCTATCGAAGCTAATTGCTTAAAGTTATTTCTATTAGCTCCCCCACATATTATAGGACTATCTTATTTCATGATAATGTCTTGGCTCAAATAAATTAAAACTTCATTTTTCAACTTTAAATAATGCTTGCTTTCGGTTTCTTGCGGAACTTCAGATATTGATGTGTTTTCGATTAAAGTGTTTTTGTTTTTAATAAAACTTTCAAAGCATTTTGAAAAATCAAAATCTAGATTTATTGTACTTGATAACAAACTGACCTCAGGTTGAAGTTCTACATGATCTTTTTGTTGAAAACTTTTTGAGCAATCTACAAGCCATTTAATAATATTTTCAAAATAACTATCAGCTTCTTCATTTGGAAAAAAATTATTTTTATACCTTGGATCTAAAAATGTGGCTAAAATGAGATTTTTATCATTGAGATATTTTTCAAATCTTTCATTTGCTGATATTTTACATTCTTTTGAAGTTGTCCCTAATCCTAAAATCAAGGGAGACTTTTTAGCTTGAAGCAGCATGGTTTTTATAACTTGTACTGTTGGAATTATAGCAGATGCAATTGCTTCACGCCCACTTAACAAATTTGTTATATCATTAAACATTTTTAAAAGTTGTAGTAGTTTTTCTTAAATAATTCATTCATTGTTTTCTAGTGACTTTAGTTTTGAGTTGTCATTATCACAACAAAATGGGATCAAAGCACACTTCTGTTCAAAAATTCTTTCAAACATAAAATATTGGCTATTCCATTTTGTTGTAGTGTCTTGCTTTAAGCTATTTTCTGGCACTTGATAATGAGTTTGATATTTTTGATAAGCTTCAAAAGATGACGAATGATTAAAATGGGTTACTATGTTTTTACAAGTTGTTGATATATTTTTAATATATATCTGGGCAAATACAGTGTCATTCAACACAAGTTGCAGAGTGTGTAAAAAATAGGACAAACTGTTGTAACCTGCCTCTCTTATACCAGCTACCATATTAGCTGCATTATCTCTAGCAACTAAATCTACCTTTGTAGTTGGAGTAAGAAAGTCATTTATAGAACTTTAGATTGCTTCACTTTTATTTTTGGCAGTATGCAATACATTGAGTTGACAAACTCGAAGAATTGCTGATTTTTGATGAAATTCTTTAGTTAACCAATGAGCTGTCAAGCTAAGAAATGAACATTTTCCGTTGGTAGATATCCATCCATCAGTTGTAAATGAAATGTATGAAACATCATTTATTTCTTTTTGGACATTTTGCCTGACTTTGTTTTATATATTTTGAAAAACAGAGTTTTTAATGTGTTTTCTACTTGTAATACAATAGTTAGGACATAAATGGTTTAACAATCTTTGAAATCCGATGTCTTCTACTATAGAAAATAGTTGAATATCAACTGCAATCATTTCTGCAATATATTAATTAATTTAGACCTGTGATCGTTAATGTCCCAGGGTTTTTTTCTCTCAAGTGTTTCGAACAAAGTTTGTTGAGACTGTTTTGAGCAACTTGCATCAGTTGACTTAATTTTTTTGAACATATTTTGTTCACTTTCTGCTTTCCTTTTGTTTTCTACTTCATTAAGTTTCAAC